TCTCTCTCCATCTATGGTTACCAAGACGATTCCTCAAATTCGGTCATACCCTCACAGTACCTGGATGGATACTCAATTTATCTCAACGTCCTCCTCCCAGGGTTCTATTATCCAACTCCCACTATTGGAAACACAAACTTCATCACGACACTCGTGGTACCATTTCCATCAGTCTGAAGATCAACTCTTCGACTTTTATCCATTAAATTCAATCATTCTATTCAACTCAAATGAATTCCGACTCTCTCGGATCTTATCGGGAATACCAATAGTCAATCTCAACATACAAAACTCAACTCCATAAGAAGTCTCTTCACATACTAAACTTATATCCCGAATTTACTCCCTCAGTTCTAGCTCAATACCATCATCATCAGTATATACAGGAAATTCCCATTTGATATCTCAGCCACCACGTTGTCTCACCCAAATGGTAATTCAACCAAAACCACATTCCTTCAAAAGTCCCAATTATACAAACAACTTAAGCTCTTAAGGTTAGCAATCATTTCAAATCTCGACTAAACAATTGAGGTCTCCAAACTCCGGCACAGACACTCAACAACCAATTCCAAATTACTTGTCAGGCCATTCCCTTATGTATCTTAAGTTGCCTTAAAGCATAACCACAACTCGCTGATGTTGTACTTAACATATCTCTCAATCATATCAACCAAACATCATGAAACACAACAAATAGTTCTGTCAGATTTGGCCAACCAATACACGAGTCACTGACAGCTTCTCCCAAAAACTCTTTAAACTTCTTCCCAGTGGTATATCACTACTCTTTATCAAATACCGATAACTCAAGTCTCCGACGCTCAACATGATCCTCTATACTCTTCTAATATCTAAATATCATCGGCTACACAACTATTCACTCACTCAATTAAGTATGGAAAATCTCATGTCAAACGGACACTCAATTTGTGAGTTTATGGCGGAAACACAAACCACACTTCCCGCACTTACTACGACATCCAAACATACTCCATCAAGAAATAACTTAATTCCATGTCACTACTCCACCATCACATAGAGCATTGTAGAAACTTCCAACGCTTCTAATCCTGCATCATTCGGAGTTACGGTTCTCTCATTACGACAAAATACGAAAACAACATTCCCACACTCAGAAGACCATTTACACATCTTCAACTCTTGAAATACTTAGAGGCCTAATCATACCAAAATTTTATTCCACCTCTTACTCCCTTTAATAATCACCAGAAATCACCATCCACCCTTTATATACTCGACCTCATAACTGTTGCCGTAACACACACAGACACAATTCTCAAAATTATTCCATCAATTTAATTCCTTGGCTAACCACTTAGACATATAACATGGAGCTTTAAATATCAGACTAGTTTCCGTAACTAAGTCGATCACAACTCCACTTCACGCCCTGGCTGTGTATCACCACTTTGTCAGGACAACTTCCAGGCAATCACGACTGATCGGTAAACCGCCAACTTTCCACTTTGTTAATACACAAAACTCTCAAGTACTCGGCCTTACTCCAAACCATTCACTGCTCACGCCATCTAAGCTTGCAAGACACGTCTATCCCATCCAACACAATCCCAACTACTATCAACAAGAGATTAAGGGTGATCAGTTCCTCAATTTGTCAATAAACAGCCGAAATTATGATGGGGCATAAATCATCTTTACCAAACTATAGGAGCGTCCAACCACATACTTGTAGCATCCTGGAGAAGCACAACGTTCTCCCCCACTTGGATCACTCCCACTTCTGCGGACAAGGTTTAGAACAACAAACGCGTACCGACAGTGTTTTCACACACATGTCGCATACAAGAGAACAAACAACATTAGACAACTTGGCCGGATGGACCGACCTGCTTTGATACCACTAATGTAACACCCTTCTAAACCCCACGGAAAATATAAGCATAATCAGAGTAAAATTAACATGCATTCACAAAGGGCGTCACACATACACTTCCAAATTACTAAGAACCAACTGTCATGCTTATTAACACTGAAATAAATAATCATACTTTACAAAATTTCATTTGCATGTAGCAGCATATTCATTTGTCTCACAATTTTTCATAAAAGAACTATTTGTGTTTATCACATAAATCAACATCACTACAACATAAACCAAGTGATCCCAGTGTTACATGACCAGAGCATGACTCGACCCAACATAATTAACTCACTAAACGGCTACACCAATAGCGGCTTCGTAACTACAAGCAATACTACTCCTTGATACCTGCACGATGTCATGTAGGACATCATTCCAGCAGAAGGGTGAGAAATATTATCATAATAACAATGCATATAATCATATATAGGTAGATGCACAATTACAGAATACATATATTCCACATTTTCTCACCACAATTCATTATAATCATCATATACATCGCAACATGTGTATAAACAAATATGGATAATCACTCAAGCATTTTTCATCATGCACACATCCATAATTCTCAGTCCTAACAACTCACAGTTACACATGCACACTTTCATACAACAATCACATATACTATATGACTCATATAAACTCATCAACTCACAATTGCACATTCACCATTACACATTTACACAAGTCATACATATACGCATATATAAACTCATCATAACTCATCGTATACTTCATAAAGCATATATATATATATATATATATATATATATATATATATATATATATATATATATATATATATATATATATATATATATATATACACACACACACACACACACACACACACACACACACACACACACACACACACAAACAAATATAGACAATTATCAAACATATCCATAATTCTCATCTTTCCACATAAGCATACACATATGCATACTTTCACACAATCCATCATATATTCATGACATAAGACTCAATGCAACTCATGCCATGTGGTACCAACACTTGTTGTCATTTTTCGGTTTTTACACTTAAACCGGGTCCACCCTTCTAGACCGATAACAACAAAAGCCCGTTCCCTAAACTTTCAAACCCACCCTTCTAGGTTTGGGACAATTCACCAGTCTCCACGAAACTAGCAAACATTGCCTCTTGACTAAATGATGCATATGCAATCAACAACAAAATGCACTTAAGACCGTTCACTCATCTTAATCCCATGCATTCAAATAATTCATCACTTCAAGAATGATATCATGATTGCACACACAACATATTCATATTATCAAGTATTCCCAATTCAATACTATCACAAATCATCACGTATTCTTATTCATATTAACAATGTATTATATATATTGCTCAAGGCTACATTTCACAATCAATTCATAATCTAGGATTCATGCCATAAGGCTACCCACAATATAACATATCGCAACAATAATCATCACCTCGTCCGATAGGGTTAATCATATAAGAGTCGGAAAACCGAACTCAGATGGAACACACAAGAAAATCACATCCTGTCATGCTCGCCACCTTACTCGCTAAGCGAGCCCCTTGCGAGTGCTCACTACCTGTTCGCCTAGCGAACAAGCTCGCGAAGGCAAACAGAAGCCACTGACTTGATTCACTACCCCACTCGCCACAGCGAATGCTCGCTACCCCCTTCGCTACCAGCGAAGAACACCCAAAACCATTCGGCCCAAGTCTGGGACCGTTCGCTACTGGCTCGCTACAGCGAATGCCCAATGAATGCTCGCGATCTGCTCACCTAGCGAACGTGCTAGCGAGGGTCTGCGAACTCAGAAATCCCCACTGTCCAAAACTCCGAACTCGTCGAAATTCAACCGATTCAATCCCAACTTGTCTCAGTAGCCTTAGCCCAACATCCCTCGACTAAACTCTATCATTTGTCCTCCTTTTTAACCGTTAAAACTCGGTTTCTACTGAATAAACTTATTGTGCCCTAGAATGGAAGATGAGGAAAAACAACCAAACGATCCATACAATCCATACATAATCACATACATTGGTAAGATAACAATATTTCACACCCTTACCTCGATTAATCGGAAGTTAGAAGTCGTTCTTGAGCTTTCCAAGCTTTCCCTTCTTCTTCCTTCTACTTTCTCTTCTTCCTCCACTTTTCTTTCATGTTTTCTATTTTACATTTTCGTTCCTCTTCTCTTCATATATCCCTCCCTTCTATTTCTCTCCAATTTATTTTTTTTCTCAAAATATTTGCCAATTCATTTTTTCATAAAATATCTCATCTCGTCCTTAATTAAAGAATATCTAGTAAGTCCATATTATTCTACTAAATAGAATAAATCAGTTAAATCCAATAATTTACTTAAACCATACAAACCAATTAACTAGTACCATTAATCAGTTATTGAAAATTGGGCTGTCACACATAACGTTCAAAAATCTTCATTTGAATAAATATAAATAAAATGTAACATGCATTGTTTTGATAAGTTACACAGATGTATCTCCATAAAACTCTAAACGGAGATGCATCTCTAAAATAATAAACATGTAAAATACCTTTCAGATGAGATTCATGGTGTATGTTTTAAAATATTACGGAGATGCAGTTCCAAAACAATTAACGTTTAGATTTTAGATAAGGTGCGTCCGAAAATATATCTATAAAATTTAAAGGGCATTTTGAATTTTTCATACTATAAGATGAAATTAAAAATTCCCAAAAATAGAGTCATCTCAAGGAAATTGGATAAAATACAACGGTAAATTATTAGATCCCATTAAGGTAAAAAAATAATGTTAATTAAGCCGAAAGTGTTACTAATAAATAAAATTGTTTTCTTGTTTAGATAAGAAAAAGTAGCAAATTGTTGATAAGAAAAAAATAGGAAAAAAGATATCATTGAGATGGCATTTTTCTTATCACATATAAGGATACAAAAATGTAAAGACTAGCACATTACACTCATACAAGAACAGAACATATGAACTTGACCCAACCAATATAAATTCTAAAGCCACATTTATTCTATACCCAACACCCTAACAATCCCAACCGCACACACACACAACACAAGATATTGCTTCAAAAGATTGGTCCAGCTGCAAGAATCTCTTCTGTGAGGTTGTCACCACCCTTTCCAATTGTGTAGTTAGTGAATGTTTCAAAATTCTTCCTGAACAATCCAGCCAATTTCAACAATGTCTCATTGTAGGCATCTTTGTCAGCCCACTGCAATCCATTAGAAACATTGTTAGAGATTATTTTCAAAGTGTTTCATTAGTAGTATAGCGTATAAATCGAGTATAGAATAACTAACCGCATTCACAGGATCGAGAATTTCTGAAGGGACACCCTCTACAGCTGTTGGGGTCTCAAGGCCAAAAATGTTACTCTTGTTGTACTCTGCCTTCAGGAGGCTTCCATTGTGAATAGCATCAATTATTTTTCTAGTATAACTTAGTTTGATACGACTTCCGGTACCATAGCTGCCACCAGACCAACCAGTGTTAACAAGCCACCCTGTTGCACCATGACTCTCCATTTTTTCAGCAAGCATTGCAGCATATTTTGTAGGGTGTAACATTATAAATGCTGCACCAAAACAAGCCGAAAATGTTGCTTGCGGCTCCTTTATACCATCCTCAGTTCCAGCCACCTACATTTTCACGTAGTCACTATCAGTGGCAGTTGATCTTGGTTGGATAAGATCAGACAGTCTAGATTTTAAAACTCGATAACGATCACCAAATTCGATAGCGTGAATGCATAATTTGTGACAATAGCAAATCCAAATTCACTAGTTAGGTACTATGTATGAAGAAGTTAGATAGGATGAAACATTACCAGAGCTGTATATCCACTGATGAAATGGTACATGGTCTGCGCCAGGTTTAGTTTACTCACTGGTGGTAGCACACCAAATGCATCACATGCCAAAAGAATAACATTCTTTGGATGAGGTCCAACACATGGTAGCTTTGCATTTGGAATGTACTCAATAGGATAGGCTGCACGCGTATTTTCTGCAATAAAAAATGACCATACATAACTATCAGAAGAGATTTGACACCACACTGACACATTAACATGACTTATTTACATGAATATATCAAACATAATCACATGTGTCAATATCGTGTCAACTGACTGTGCATTCAACGGTGCTATAAAGAGTTCTGGTGACGGATGACTAAAATTTATAACTTTACAATTCAATAAAAAATTCAGCAGCTGGCAAGTAGAGGTTTGAATAACTTGTTTATCTGTCAATTTAAATGTTTGTCTTTATTTAATACAGTCCTTATCCCTTGTGCTGTATAATAGGAGGTTTATATTTTAATAATAAGTGACCTTTTAGAATAACATATAGATTACTTGTAGTACATATGAAGTACATGTTGTAAGGAAGTACGAAGTCAACTGTTAATTGGCATGACAAACTCACAGCTTAGTCCTCATTTTGTCAGCTAAAGAACAAATAATTTTAAATGAACAATCTTAGTCATTAAACAGCCAAAATTGATGAAGTCAAAACCTTAAACAAAAGAACTAAGAAAATCGAAATACTCAACTTGATGTTAAAAAATCATTGGTTACCTGTAACTGATTTGTCAGAGTAATCAACTTCTCTAGTATGCTCATCAAACACCACGTTTTCCAGCACTGATAAATGCGAAAGGAAAAAAATCAAAAACATATTTCAACATCTTAAAAAAAGCATACGCGACAGCAATATAGACCGGAACAGAAATAACGAGGGGAGAATTTAAGAGTAGTCAAAGATAAATATATACCTGTACCAAACCTAATTGCATTCCAGATATCAGGCTCTTTCTCCCGGGAAAGATCAATGCATTTAGCATAACAACCACCTTCAATGTTGGAGACACCATTCTCACTCCAACAATGTTCATCATCTCCGATCAAATACCTATTATGATCGGTAGAAAGAGTAGTCTTTCCAGTACCTGTTTTTTTCCCAATGAAATAAATAAAAAATCCATTAGAATTATAAGAAAATGAGAACAAAAGCCATAACCAATTTCCATGGCTAAGTATATAGATATCTAGTGGAGTATAGGACAAGGAAGGGAACATATCGTGGGGCGTAGGCTGGTCGGATGAGGTAACCTAACCACCTTGATTACTATACCTGAGAGTCCAAAGAAGAGTGCAACATCACCATCTTTGCCCATATTGCAACCAGAGTGTAAGGAGAGAATTTGGCGCTTAGGCATGAGATAATGCATGACACTGAAAAGACCTTTCTTCATTTCCCCGGCGTATTGTGTGCCGAGGATAACCATTTCCCTTCTAGCAAGATTAAGATCAATGCTAGTGGAAGATGTCATGTAGTGAGTGAAACGGTTACATGGAAACTTTCCCGCATTGTATATAGTGAAGTCCGGAGTACCAAAATTCTCCAGCTCTTCAGGACTGGGTCGGATACACCTGTAACCAACCCAGTTATCTACTTGTTTACATAGTTTGGATGTCTTGTATTATGATGGCGATACTTTTACATACCATTTTAGTTAGATAATATAAATTATATATAAGGCTTTCAACGATATAGGGTACTTATCTGGTGGTCGAGCTTATATACCTACCTTTTTTGTCTCGACGGAACAAAAGAGAAACCAAACAACACAGTGTTGGCAGTGCATGAACAAAATTTTCACTTACATGTTGTGCATGAACAATGAATGGTATGCTCTGGCTGAGACAATTCTGACTTTGATTCTGTTCTCTGGATCCCAGTTCAAGAATTGGTCATTCACATACACCTGCAATTAATTAGACAAAAACATTGTTATTATTTATTTAATCTTATTAGTAAGATATTCATGCATTCACACATATTACTTTCAAAGAATGCATCTATGTCTTGTTTGACCAAAACCAAGATGACATTAGATTTATTGAAAGGATAACAAAAATCATCTTGACATGTAAAACTTGTCCAATTGGATTGAATTAGTTTGAATTAATAAAAAAATCTCATCCAAACCCAAATAATTTTAATACATTTTATCTTTATCTAAAACATAATTAATCCAACTCAGCTAATAGTCACTCCTAATTATAAAAAGGAACAAAACTACCAAGTCTAGTTGTGGCAACAACATATATTCTTCAATATAAAACAATATTTAGTATTCAATGAATAAATAAGCTTTTAAATTGAAATTATAAGATAAGAAATAAAATTGTAGGACATTGTTTATCAACTGAGACAAAGGAATAAGGATAACTCCAAATTTGAATTGCAACTGAAAGAATCTTATTCAGGTTTTAATTAAACTTCAACTAAACTCGGAATTACCGGAATCATTTTTTCAACCGAAGCGTTAAGAAAAAAACAGGAAGATGCTTTTTGAATGGAGGTAATTAACAACACCTAAAAGGATAGGCTTTAGCACACCATATAGGCATGGTGCTCTATACTGTAAAAGGAAAAGCATATATACTAATTCCCTGTGCATGAATTCTGAGGCTGAGTAATGATTTTCATAAAGAATGGAACGGACACATATCTTCTATTTTTATCACTTACCAATATGCAAAATGGTGACAAAAAATATCCCCACATCATATCCATAGTAAATACAAAACACAATCTATTTTCAACCTAATGTGACATGTCATGAATTGAAGATATGTCCTGTTTCAGGCAAAAACCCACTTGGACAAAATGGCAACATAGGCAGCACTATCACCATGTCAACATCACTATCTTAACAGCCATGAAATAATAAAAAGCAATTTAATCACCTTGTCCAAAGAATTCAAGTAATCAACAGCTCTTTCTCTGTTCACCAAAAAAGTCTGCTCGTCCATCTCAATGTTAGGAGAGCCCCTACAAAATTAAAATATTTCCACAATATTATTATTATAGCATCAAATAAAATTATACAATTACTTCGCAATAACAATGAATAAGACGGTAAGAGATCTCTTTCAGTTTAACCAGAGGTTCTGAGTTCAGACCTGTCAAGGATATACTTACTTTCCCCACCAAAGTTCACTTTCAGTAACATCATCCTTAACGACACGCTTGTCTCTAGGAGAACGACCTGTCTTAGCACCAGAAAGTGTTGCTAATGCTCCATTGGAAGTAACAAACGAACCTTTCTCATACTTGATAGCCTGTTCATACAGTTCTACACCAAATCCAAACAAAACAAAAAACAGTCAGACAAATTCACATGAATCATCTCAATTCTCAACCAATAACAAGGAACGCTTGAAAGAGTACCAGCTGGAGAGAGATTGTAGAGAACATGAGTAAATTTCAAAGCGCTGTCACTAACAGCAATGGTTGGAGCAACATGAACGTGATGCACATGATCAACCTTCTGGCTCCGGCTCTTAGCTGGATCCCCCTTCACCACCTTTGGTCCAGTTTCTCTTGTCAGTGACGCAAGGGATGCACTATTTTTCAACAAAATAAAAATAAATTATTTATTTATTATACAGAATCAAAAATTTGGCACCGTCAAATCCATCTCATTTTTTTCTTCACATACAACGTGCATGTACTAAATATAACATGACCCCACAAATCCTCATTTTGCTCCAATTTACTTTATAATGCAAAAACGGATTTTCCGCTTCTTTCATGGGCTAATTTGTTTTATCTTTAAAAAATAATTTTTTTTTAGTATTTTTTGAAAATGAATTCTATAAAAAAGTTTTTCAAAATTTCTAAATTTACTTTTTATAATTTTAAAAAATTAATTTTGACATACTACTACATAAATTATTAAAGATTAAAATATAATCAAAATCATATATTTTTTAAAAGTTGTATTTAAAAAACTATTTTTAATAAAAAACTATTTAAAATAGCTTTAAAATTAAGTGATTTTTTAAAATTTTGATAGGTAAAAAAGTTTTTACAAAATATAAAAATAAAATAACATTTTAAAAATAACTATTTAAACTAGATTTTTTTTTTGAATTTTTTTATAAAAAATTTATTTAACCCAAAATATGTTATATTAGAAAAATCATTTAAAAAAATAAAAAGACAAACGAAACTGGCCCTATATTAACTTGTCTCATTTCATATATTTTGAAAATAAAGATTTCTTTAAATAATACTATGTTTAGTCAAATATAGTATTAGATCATTGAAAATAATAGATTTTAATTAAAACTATACATTAAAAGCTCAAATAAAACAATTTATAATTAATGGAAGGTGCATACAGTCTTTCAATATTACCTTTTTAAGATACTTTTACAAATATGAAATTTACGTGTAATCTTTTCACTTCATATGACTGCAACGTGTTAAAATGATTCTTGGATACTTTTATTAAAAGTCAAATAAATAAATGTATGTAGGCACCAAATTTAACAAACTATCACCGCTTTTCCATTCTTTTTCATGACCAAGTATTAGCCATTTTTATGGATATGATGACGCGATATATATAACTATTAATAATTATAAAGCATTAAAATAAAAATGTGAGAAACTTAGTACCTAATTGATTGAAGTTGCAGTTGCTGGCGTTCTTGTTCCGAGAGAGAAGCAAACGGAGATGAATTCCCCGTATTAGGGGTAGTTGGTGCAGATTTCTTCGTCTGCAATGAGTGAAGTTCATCAATGGTTTTCGCTTTCACCGTGGGACCACTATCATCGTGACAAATCCCGTTAAGAGCTTTCTGCTTCGGCGTCTGAATCTTCGCAAGTCCGTTTTCTGTTGCTACGTTTCCATTCCCGTTTTCAGCCATCTTCTGCAACAAAAATAAATAAATAGAGTTAATCAATAAATCATTCACCATGCATGTAGAGTAATGGTGCTAATATCGTCTCAGTGTTATGTCTGTTAGTGTTGTGTTTGGTGTTTGTGTATCTCTTAACGTTAATAAAGAATAGAACGAACCGGAAATTTCTAGCTAGGTTTTGTTGATGAGGAAATGAGAAAATCTGGAGAATGAAAAAACGATAATAAAAAATGGTGCAACGTTGTGTAAGAATTCTATGAAGAAAACAAATTGGTGATGGAAATTTGATACAATATGATGTCCTTTTATATAGGGTGCAGTAATAGCCTCTGCTTAACTAGGGTTAATTAATTAACCATGGTTAAAGATAACCATGGTTAAATCCTATCTCACTCGTCATAATCGGTTAATACTCAACTCATTATTCGGAACAAAAATGAAAGCAATCCTGTGTTTCTCTTATCCTACGTAGCATACACTCATTCTCAAGTCCCAATACATTGCATGCATTAGTATAGTATAGTTATTTATTTTTCAAAAAACTCATGTTACCATATAAAAACAATTTAATCTTTTTTTTATTATTACTAAGTTTTTATGCTTATCTAAAACATTAATTAATATTTTTCAAATACTTTGAAAAAAGAAATCCAGTTTTAAAAAATGGAATATTTTGAATTTTCTTAAAATTTGAAGTACTTTGAATTTTTCTTTAAAATTTATTATTTATTTTTAAATAAATAGTAGTGTACAATTAACCTGATACATTTCACTTTAGATTTATCAAGACATACTAAAATTTGAAAAAGCAAATTATTTTATTAAGTGAAATTTGACATTTTTTAATGTTTTAATCTAGTGACGTGACATTTATATGTGAAGTGAGTTTAAAATTTTTATAAATATGTAAATCGAGTGTATTCAAGATTTATTGAAAATTATCAAATAAAATAAACATGGAAATTGAGTATATTTAAGATTTATGGAAAATTATCAATTAAAATGAACTCATATGTGTGGGTAAGAATAATTTAAATCTCTACTTCGTGTTAAGGAGCAGTTTGTTTTATTTAAAAAAAAAATAGATTTTATAAAAACTTTTTTAAAAATATTATAAATTTTTTTAAATTTATTTTTTATAAATTAAAAGACAAATTATAACATACTATAATATAAATATATATATTATTGAAGATTAAAACTGTTTTGGACTAGGTCAGAGGCTGATCCACCGCCGGGCACGGTCCAACCCAGCTCCCCGTCAGGGAGAGTCCAATTAAGGCCCAATCCTCCAACGCCCACAGGGAACTCTCACACGTATACTCCATGGTCTCCACGTGCCCCCCACGTTGGGTCACTTCAGCAGACAACTACCCACCTTCCGAGGATCACAGGGCAGTTGACTCAGAGCGAAGTCCACGTGTTGGTCTTCCCTACGCCACGTAAGCCCTGATAGTTACTTGTATTGGGCCTTACAATCCAACCAAATTCAAAGAACCATTGGCTCAACACTAGGGGCACATTATAAATACTCTCTTTCACTAGAGGGTCAGATTTTCAATTATTTACATACTTTCTCTGTACTTATTTTTCTACTCCATCTCTTACTTTGGCATCAGAGTACCTTGCAGGTACACCCCCTCCTCTTTTCCACCACCGGCGAATTAAGAAGCTCACGTCGTGTAGTTGACTGTTGATCCTTTTCTGATCTAGTAAGATCAGTGGCACCGTCTGTGAGAAACTTGATTTTCCGTTATTCCTTCTGAAAGAAATCCAAGAACCAAAGCATAACTCAACCTTCGTTGATCATGACCAGTCCACACAATGACGAAAACATCCACGAAATTGCCTTCACCCCATTCACCAACGATGACAATCACGATCTCAATGTGGCCGTTCATGTTGAGGAAGGCGACGCCAGGGACGGGCACACCGCCTCACCCTCTGTAACTCCCTTTTCTACCCCACAAATATAATGGCAAATCAATCATATTTATCAGAGTAAAATATTTGAACGCAATAAAATCATCCCAAAAGGGCGCACATTTCTCAATAATTCAAATATAGTCAATGCTCCGTAAACAACGGGTTTTCCCAAAGTTACTCAAAGTATTACTCAAAAGGCAGCGGAACTCAAAAAGGCAAAAATTCAAAGTTTTTCTTGCGCAGTAACTTAATTAAAATAACAATAATCAATAAAACATGGTTCACCTCAAAAGACCCAAACCCGATGTTACACTATCAGAGCAAGACCCTCTAAGTCAACCACAATGGCCAACGACCCAAAAACTTTAAAAAGTCCTCGACGACATCCACGGCTAAACTTGATCATCGACACGTTACCCACGTGGAGACAACATTCAAACATGCAGGGTGAGTAAAACGATTCATAATAATCAATATAGGAATCAATATATAAAACATCGTCATTTTCATATTCAACATCATCATAATCATCAAGGAACATCAAATGCCACAACATTATAAATTACACCAAATGGTCACATAAATGCAAATGCAACAAGACTCATGCATGTGGTACCAATCAACAAAATTCGATGGACACTGGGCCATCAACCATCCATAGATCCACAATAGTAGGATCGATTCTACATGAGAACCGGAGCACAACAAAATACCTCACATCCGCACAATGTGACTAAAGCCACAAGAATCAAGGTCCTAGACTGAAGTCCATAATGCATATGAATGCATGATGCACACGTCAATATCATCCTTATAATAATATCATTAGGTGCATCATCATTCATCAAAATAATCATAAGAATCACATCATCATAAAATCATAAAAACCTCATGGAATCAACGTCACAAATCATCACAGTTCCTCATGGGGATTCATCATGCAATCATGTATTAATCTCATATGAATCACAATTATACTCATGGGTTCTCATCATACAGTCATGTATTAATCACATAGGAATCATAGTTATACTCATGGTAACTCATCATACATTCATTTAATCACATAGGAATCACAACTATACTCATAGTAATTCATCATACATTTAATCATAATTATACTCATAGTAATTCATCATACATTCATTTAATCACATAGGAATCACAACTAGACTCATAGTAATTCATCATACATTCATTTAATCACATAGGAACCACAGTTACACTCATGGTAATTCCTCAGGAAAATTACAGCATCAAAATATCAAGACATCACTGAACCAAAACATAATTCGCGAAACTCTGCTACGTTCGATGACAAGTTCGCCGTGTGAGTCTGGGCCGAATGTTCGTCATGCAAACTCGCGATTACAGCAAATTGCTATTACGCACCAACACCAAAACCAGCCCAAAAACCTCTACGATTTCCTTCCCCGACGCCCTAAAAACATCCCTAAATCATTCCTAAGGTATTACGGCGATAAAGACACAAAATCTACGACTTATTAGGCCAATCTCGCATCATATTTACGCCTCTAATTCGCATAAAATCCTTACAATTTTCTCACATTCATTAGAGTTCTCATAATCAATTCCCCTATACGGTTAAAACCTCAACAACAAATTTTGGCCACGAAGGCCTAATTTCCCTTACTCCCAAATCAGCCTCAAACCTATCAGATCGTCAGTTCAAATCCCTCAAACTCATTAAACTCACCAGAAAGGCAATAACAATTCAATACCCAAAATCCATAAACCCTTAATCAACTTTAAACACATTGAATCACATATTGAAAACAATGAAGACAATACTCCATATACTTAAACAACCTAAAAAACAGATTTGGCCACGAAGGCCTAATTTCCTCAAACTCAAAAATCTCCTAAATCCTTAAATCGGCTTTAAACATATTGAAAACAATGAAGGAAATACTCCCCATGCCTTAATTTCCGACTCTAAGCCTTTCTCCTTGATTCTTGGAAACCTCGCGAAGCTTTGCCTCAATCCTCTTCCTCAGAGCTCTGGCCTCTATTTCTTCCCTTTTCACGGTTGTCGCGGTGAAATTTGGATACCAAACTATTAATTAGTTTGAATCTTTAATTCATTTTGTAACCGAACTTTGATTTGTCCAAAGGAAGGGATAAATATCGAAATTCCCACAATGCAATGCAAATGTAAGGTTTAGAGAGTTATAGGTTCGGGGGTTGGTTAAACTTAGGGAAGGTGCTAGCATCCTAAGTTTCTGTAGTACTCTACAGGAACCTCTTGTTTTATGTTGTTTATTGCTAAGTTTATCTGCTTAATGGTTGAAAGACCCTAGGGGTTTATTTTCTAAGTATACTCGATAAGATGTCACATCTTATGCCTACATATCCTTACGGGAGTAGAATCAGAGTATTTGTAGTTCCCCTAAAGGTTTGAGGAGTTCTTTGACTGTGGTCAAAGTTCCTACGGGTTTAGGGTAGTTAATTGATTGATTTTAGGAGAAAAGACGAGTTGTCATTTTAAGAGAGATTTAACCGCCACAAGGTGTAGGAAAATAGTCTTTGCGTCGTCTTAAGAGAATGGGTCAAGTACTCAGATAGGGATCGACGAGGTACGCCTCTATCTCTCTTAAGGAAAAGTTCCTACGGTATTGATTGTATTGATGTGGGGTGGAGATTCTATCTCGCTTAAGATGATTAACATCTATTTCTCTATTGTGTTTGAGTGATTGTATTGTTGAATGTTTTTTTTCTATGTTGTAAAGGATAAGGTCCTTCCTATAGGGTAGGATCTAACTTAATTGATCAACTTGAATGGGATCAAGGATCATAGGGGAGTATGATGCAAATGACGTGCACTACACACAATTGTTGAATCATGTATAGGTTTTTTCTTTGGACAAAATGCGAGGCAGCAATATAAATTGCGATAATGTAAATTGCTTGTAAAATAAATTGCGGAAATAGAGAGCAAATAAGTGAAGCATACATGTACGCACGAAAGCGCTGAAGTGTGTGAGAGTGAATGTGTCGTGAAGTGTAAGCGTGCTCGATGGAATTGGATGTGATGTCAATTGTTTTTAGTTGATTGTTTT